CGGAGTCCGAAGCAGAAGCTGGCTCGTAAATGGAATGCCATCTCCTGTGGGCTCCTCGGAACCTCCAACCCTGCAGCGGATGAAGAGACGAAGCCTTCTGGAGCAGCGGCCAAGCCTCATCCACCTGCTACTAACCTCCTTTCCTGTCTCCTTTCCCGCCGGCTCCCAGCTCCAGCTCCAACTCCTCCCTGTTCTCTACCGTGCCACGGGCTGTCTGTCCCGCACACCCCTGGCCCTGCGGTCCCTGTTCCTGCAGTTCCTTCCCTCTGTGATGCTGTTCCCTCTCGTCTGTCAGGTGAAGTCTGACATGTGTTCAAAGGCCTGGTTCCAACGCCACCGCCTCTAGAAAGCCCCCCTCTGTGCCCAGCACCTCACGGGGTTAATTACCCCTGATTCTCCCAGGACTTTGCTGAAAGCCCCTCTCTCACCCAGCACTCACACATCCTGTTACCAAAGTGCCTCTCTTCCCCGTGTCTTCTCTCGCTGTTTATTCTACACATGCCTGTAGGAGAAACATATTTTGGCGAGCGGTGCTGAGAAAACTATCTAGGTTGGGACTAGGAGAGCTCCCTGCCCCTCCTTAGACATTCAAGCTTTTATCAGTTTAAAACATTCAGTGGAGTCATTGACCTCAGCTTCCAAACTTCACCACCTTGTGCTGCCCTATAGCAGAGCTCTGCAGGTGACTCCTGCTCAGCGGGGCTCCAGCCAGGAGACAATGGCCTCTCCAAATACCAGGGTCCATTCGCAAAAACCGATCTTCAACTGTTTGTTGGGCAACTACCACGCATTCCATACCATTTCAGGAGCCTTGGCGCTGACTTTGGGAATTGTGCAACTATCCTGTGCACATGCCAGATCAGGGCTTAGTCACTGGGAAAGAGAGCCTCGAGGAAGCGTTTTCCCACCCAGGAAAGATGAACCGGTCAGCTCTCACGCCAGCTCCGACGGACCCAGCCTTACTGCTTGGGAGCTGTGTGATCCTAGAAGATAACTCAGCCCTTCTGAGCCTCAGTTAACTCACCTGAAAGCATTATTGGATACTTTCCTTTTCAGGGCTGTTGTGAATATTCAATGAGCTATGTGTGCAAAACACCTGGAATAGTCACAGATATGTATGATCCATTCAATGAACAGTACCTTTCTCCCTTACCTTCCCCCCCCCCTCTTCTTCTCTCCAACCTACCTCCTGGTGTCTACCTTATGGAGAAGTAAACTTACTTTAACGCATTGAAGAATGAACCAATAAAGGCCCTAGTTTATTATTTTATAATAAAACATTGACTGGCCCTCAGAGACCCCCTAGGAACGCCCGCAGACCAGTGAACCTAGTGCACGCCTCCTGGCTCAGCGCTTATGAACTCCTGGTCAGCCCCTGGGCTGCGCATCTGTCTTCTCAGGACGTGGTAATCACAGAGCAAGTATAAATGCTAAAGAAAGAACTAGGCAGGGCAGGGCTGAACCACATGAGTGATGCTGTGAAGATTTCGGGGAACCCACGAGAGGACCGGGAGGTGGGCGAGGCAGAAGGACAAGCTGTCTCGCCCTCGCTGGCATTTAGGGGCAATTATGCCCTATTAATGGCTGACATCGGAGCTCTGCCCCGAGAGCCCGTGCTGAGCCAGGGCGGCCCGCAGATGTGCTCGGCCCACAAATATGCAGTTGGAAACTCCTGAACTCTCAGTGACTTGACGCCAGCTGATCTGATCGGCAATTACGTTTTATTTTGGGGCCAGGGAGACAGCATAGAACCAGGAAAATTATAAGACATCAGAGTGCAGTTTTTCTAAGAATATCAGCTACCCGCTTTTTTTAACCGATTGTTGTTTTAACGGTTAGACATTTGCAAGGGACTAAACTAAGAAACCATGGACACTAAAATCAGATGATAGCCAAGTTTCCCAAGGGAGGTTTGGAGCCTTTGTCCAACAAAGATCTGGGTGTGATTGGAGGGCGGCAGGGGTAACTTCTACCAAGAGAACTTTGCTGGTGACAGTGAGTACAGCATAGAGATAAACATATTTGTAATTTGTTCTGGGTTTGAATCTTTACTCTGCTTCTTACTAGCTGTGTGACCTCGAGCAAGTTGTATGACTTCCACGGCTTCCGTTCTCCCATGGGTAAAATGAGGGTGTAATACCTAGCTCGGGGCTTACCGTTCACATTTGATGCGATGTTCATAAGCACCTAGATAAGCATCTAGGCAGGCCTCTGGCCTACCTAGCATCAGAACACGGTGACGAGGCGGTGTTGGTTTCTCACCATCTGAAGTGAGCTGCTCCTGTTCTCACCATCCTATGTCACACCCAAACCACCAGTCAGCTTCGACAGGGGATGTGGCATCTCCAGGAACAGTTTGGTATCTAACAAGTACAGGGGTTGTCATCTGCCTCTGGGATGACACCAGCCCACGCTTACCGGCTTCCACAGCTTGGCTGGTAGAGAAACACAAGAAACCGCAACCAAGCCAGATCGGGTGCAAAGTTTCAAGTGCCTTGTGGACTCAAAACCTACCTAAACTCAGCAGGAATGCCCACTCCCTTCTCTACCCTGAACACCCCACCCAGGGCTCCGCAGCCCAAAGGATCACCAAGACAGTTTCTCCAAGAAGCGGCCAGGGACTGGCCTTGCATGAGAATGGAACATAATTGCAGCTTGTAAAGGAAACAGCCTAAGAAAAAACATCCCGGGGCAACATCCCCAGGAAACAGGGAGATCTTCCTGCAGGGACGTTATCCTGGTTGCCAAGGCAAGGGGTCAGACGGCTTGCCCACGGCATTCTTGATGGAGGGCAGTGACTCAGCCACCTACGCCCTCACCAGTGGCTCCCAGAGCTGCCTCTGCAGCCCTGTCTTCCCTCCCAGGTCCTAGGCTACTGCCACTAAATGAGCATCTCACCCACACGACACTCAGAACACCCCCGAAGTAAGAGATGGCCTCTATGCAGGGGGGTTCTCTCTCCTCTCATTGGTTTGCTCGCCAGTCAATCATTCATGTCAATTCTCGGACAGCAAGAGGAGCCAGACCTGGAGGCTGACCACACACGCGCTGCTCACGCTCCTGCGCCCGGCGCCTGGCACTGAGCTGCTCACAGCAGATACTGGGAACGGCAGATGAAGGAGTGAAGGAGGGAATGAATCTGGGAATGTACGAACTCCGCAAGAAGCACCGAGGAAGGCACATCCTCTCACACAACCCTGCAAGGCAGGCATGTTTAGCACCATGCTATCAATGAAGGGAAGCAACCTCAGAGGGGTTAAGTATGTTGCTCACACTCGCAGAGCTAATACATGAAGAAATCATTCCTTCAACGTGGTCTGACCCTAAAGTCAAGTCTTCCAATATGGAGTCCATTCTCACGACCGTGATGATGATGCATTGTATTTACACAGCCTCTGACACATCAGAATTTGTCCTCCCACCGTTCCGGGGCTATGGGAAGACTGGCCCAGAGAGGCGACTCATCCCGCAGGCAAGACTGCACTGCCAGTGGGAGGTGGGGCAGGAATTTGAACCTGGGCTTTCCTTTTTCAATCACAGATATTCGGGGGTACCCGCCATCAGCCAGGCCCTGCGTTAGGGTTGGGGGCATAACAGAGACCAGCACAGACACGGCCCATGGATTTTTCTCTCCAGAGGGGCGCCTGCTTCAGAAATAGTCTCTTCCCGGGACACCATCTGCTGCCCATAAAATTTCCTCCAGAAAGCAGCAGCGCTCTGGCGGTTCTGTTGTGAAGTGGAAAATGATCTGGGAGCAGAGGCTGTCAACAGAGAGATGGGAATGGTTTGCATTTCAGGAGCGCGGGTTCGTTTGCTGCGTGGCCGCCCAGAAATCGCGTCCTTTGTCGAAGCTGGCTCCGCTCGTCCTAAGGACAGCGTGCGAACGGATGGAGAGACTTGCCTGCCTGTCGCAACCCAAGCAGTTGGGCAGCCACACAGAACGCAAGTGTCAAGTTCCCTGCTGAGTCAACAGAGGGCCCAGGAAAGGGAGCCTCGGAGTTCGGAGTTCGCTCGCAGTCACCTCGCCCGTCTGGCCCAGTCCTGCTAGAACTCCGAAGTGGAGCGAGTGAGCGAACCTGGCTAGGCCACCTGTGATGGCCATACTCAGGAGTCCGTTCTTCCAGGAGGAAGTGTGGGTGAGAGACAGGGAAGAGATGTGGGATCTCAGGCTCACCCCTCTGCAAGACTTCCAGGAATCTGGCACCTTCGAGGACAAGCAGTATTTTCCTCACCCAGCAACGAGGTCAACAGAAATACTAAGTTAGCAATGTGATATAAAAGAAAGCTCAGAGACAATGGCCAAAGCAGTAAATCTTTTTTCTTAGCAGAGATCAAAGGTTGGTGGATGGGCTACTAATTGTTCGCTCACCAGTTCTCGGTGTCAAGCGCTAATTAACGTTCCCACAGAAGGACCCTGGGGTCTCTGTGTCAAGACCCACACATATCAAGTCCAACCGGGACTCCCTTTGTTCCTGGATCTCCACAGAGGACACGCTCCCGCAGATGGAGCTCATTTCTGCTCAGAGGAACTCTTCATAATCAAGTTCACTTTATACCCTGACAGCCACTTAGCAAAACGTCCCCACACCCAAGGGCGTCTTGCCAAAATGGCGCTGTGAGGTGCAACTCTTGGAGCATTAGTGGGCTTTAAAAACCGAGTTCACCCCCTTGTGAGCCTTCTATGGACGCGGCAGAGGGGAGACCGCACAGCCCACCAGCTCTGTGACTTCAGAGTCCCATTGACTGCACCTGTGTGGATCTCAGGGGCCCAAAACCTGGGCAGGTCTGAAAGCTCACTCCAGCACCACCACCCCTCGCTAGCATGTCAGCGCCCTTTATATGAGCCAGGAAGCAACCACTGCAAGTACAATGCCAGGCAATGCAAGAAAGTTTCAAATCCCCCCCCAAAAACAGAATTTTGGAGTTTCTCATCCCCACCCCCACCCTTACCCCTTCCCAAACCGATGCATGAAGACATCAAGGAAGTTTCCAGGGCTTACCTGGGTCGGGTTGTAGAGTTCCTGCAGGGGGCTTCGAGACCCCTTCCGGCAACAGATGTCCACGCCGAAGGGGTTCCTCCGCATGACTGAGGAGAGAAAGTGAAGGCTCATCAGGAATGAGCAACACATGTGTGCTGTCTGACAAGGAAAAGGCACAGAGGAGGGCAGAAGAAACAGGCGGGGAAGAAAGACAGACGACAGGTTTCTCGCAAAGCTGCACCTCATCGCCCTGGCTGGTGTAGTTCATTTAGTGGATTGAGCTCGGGCTGCAAACCAAGGCATTGCAGGTTCAATTCCCAGTCAGGGCACATGCCTGGATTGCAGGCCACAGCCCCCAGCAACCGCACATTGGTGTTTCTCTCTCTCTCTTTCTCCCTCCCTTCCCTCTCTAGAAATAAACAAAATTAAAAAAAGCTATACCTCATCTAATGACACTGGGGCCATTCAGGCATCTCCACACACCCAGAAGGACAGAAATAAGGCTAAAAATTCTTCCCAAAAAAATTTAAGAAAAAAAGACAAGGCATCGAAGATATTGAAAGGAAGCCGCTCATGAGACGCCATAAAGGCTGTTCCAAGACAGCGGTACCCACACCAGACTTGGCGATACTTCTACAATTCCACAGGCCCCTCCCTCATCGGTCAGTTCCGACCCCTGAGTCCTGGTCCCCAAGGCATCTGGTCCCGAGAACGGTGCAGGCCCCGCCCCCTGCCCAGGCAGGCTCTTCCCACTGGATAACTCCGGGGCCCGGCCTCCCCAAGGCCTCTTGAACATTAAGTTATTTTTCATGAGAACATCAGCTCCATAAAGGCATAAAGGATAAGGGCATATGGTTCTAGATAGACAGAGGTGGCCCCTACAATTAATAAAAGAGGGGAATGAAGTGAACTTCCCAAAGACCCAACAGGGCTAAGGACACCAAAAACTATTTTTAATGGAAAACCATCCTTTCTTTCTTTCATTCGTCTCGTCCTCAGACACCCTGGCGTCGTGTACACAGTCACCTGCTTAGTCATCACCTGTCGGAGGTGGGGAGGAGGCAGGGATAAATGAATGAATGAGCAAGAGCTCTCGCCGCACACAGGAGGCAATTCTCCTGGGCAATGACACAAGGGGGACACGAGCACATAAGAAGAGCAGATCAATTCACACGTCTAAACATGTCACCCTGTACAGCGTGCAGCGGAGTGGACAGCCTGAGTCTGGATTCTGGCTCGACCACTCACCGGCTGTGAGACCTCAGGCGAGATACCTAACCCTTCTGTACCTCTGTTTCCTCGCCTATGAAACAGGGATGAGAAAAGGACCTGGCTCCCTGGGTTGGTTGTAAAGATTAAAGGAGTTGCTACTGTAGGCAGAACGCTTAAACGGGTTGGCAGCAAAACAAAAAAATTGTTTGTTATAAATTTCTGAAGCTACTGAAGATCATACACTAGATTTGCACGTAATTCACAACAAAAACCCTTCCCCCTGCCCTCGGGAGAGGAGGTAGGAACTTCTCTATTCCTGAGCCATCCAGTGGGCTGATGAGAAGGTGCCTGACCTCAATCCGAGCTCGGGATTCTCCTACCGCAAAGCCACACGGCACAACCTAAGGTCCCAACGTTAGGCAAAGCTATCTCCACAAGTAGCCAATCACTTCTGGAAGGTCTCCAGGGGAACCCACTCCTCCTCATGCAGTTCTCCTTGGACTGGTCCCTGGGAGCCACGTGGAAACCCTGACAGGAAGTCATCCATCCCGGGACACCTGAAGCTGCGTGTTCTCTCCCCCCCCTGCCACCTACAGCAGGGTGGGCGAACTTCTCCCACAAAGGGCCAAAGGATGTTTTGGCTCTGCACCACGCGGTCTCTGTGGTCACCGCTGAACTTGGCCATGCGGACAAAACAGAAACGAATGGGAGTGGCTGCGTGCCAGCACTTCACTGATGGACACGGAAACCTGAATTCTGTATAATTTTCACATGTCAGGAAACACTATTTTTCGTTGACTTTTGATTTTTTTTCGACCATTCACAGAAACAGAGGATTGGCTGGATATGGCCCCCAGGCTGCGGTTTGCTGACCCCTGCCCTAGAGGACAGCCCCAAGGATTCTGGGGTCAGCTGTCTGAGCCCCAACACACCGCCCAGCCCTCTCTGGGCAACTGTCCACATAAAAGCCACTCGAATTTGATTAGGCTGATCGCTGATCGGGGGAACACTGGCCCTTTGTTCCTCCACGGTCGCCTCGGGAAGAGGGGAAACATTCACGTTGTGTTTTTCTTTAATTTATTGCTTCATTTTTCATTTCCACCAAAAACGAGGTAAACTGTTAAATGCATGCAAGTTGCCCATGGTGCACAATGGCACAGCGACACTTTGGAGGAGGGAAAACAGCCGTAAAACTTGTAAAATTATGCCCACGCCATGCGAGATTAACCTCTCCCTGCGGCGGCGGCGGCGGCAGCGGCGGACGGGCTCCTCGAGACCTGCGGCTGCAGGACCGCCGTGGAGAGAACCCCACCACGCAGCCCATTAAAAACCAGCTTTTATGGGGGGCAGTATTATTTAATTGGTTTATTTTTCTAATACAAGGCCTTTAAAATGCTGTGACCGTGTGGGGCCTGCAGCCCGGGTCCTCTCCCAGGGCCGTCTGCCCCCGAGGCTCCGGCGGCCCAGCCCATGACTTCACGGGGCGCCATGCGAACCAGCGTTGACACCCCAGGCCACAAAAGCCAAAGGGGCCTTGTGCGCTTTTTATGGGAATGATAACAATCCCACCATTTATGGAGCACTCACTGTGTGCCAGGCACTTGGCGAAGCGTCGCCCTTCGCACGGAGAGGGAAGTGCCTGCGTTTTATGGGTCACCTCTCTGAGCCCTGCCCACCCTCCCACCCCCACTAACTTCAGGAACTTGAGGAGGTCAAGGCCACCTGGGTGGAAAGAGGCCGAGCTGAGACTCAAACCTGACTACTGGACTCTTCATATCCAACACAGTAACAAGGACCTACTGCAGGCCTGGGAGACGAAGGGTGATCAATTATTCACCCAAGTGTGAGTATACGGATACTGTGGGTGTCTCAGGAAAAGTGGCATCAGAGGACGTCGAGCAACCGACACACACAGACGGTGGCACTTAACGTTTAAAGAGCACTCAGGGTGCAGCCAGTAGGTCACACATTTAATCAGCACAACAGTCCTAGGTGGGGATGGGGCGGGTACCCCTGCTGTCCCCACTTCACAGATGGGAATACTGAGGCACTTAGGAACATGCCTAGGTCTCGAGACGAGTGAGAGGTGAAGGCAGGATGCTGACACAGGCAGCCTGCGCTGTCGGGCGCCATGCTGGGCCAACGTCAAGTCCCCAACCCACCACACACCTCACTCGTGTCTTCCTGGCCCCACACCTGGTTGGCTGGCCACCGCTAGGACAAGTGATTGAAAATGTAACCCAGTGTTACAGGATTCCCCAAAATGACGTGATGTGACGGCCAAACCAGCAGCTACCAGTTATTACACCCATTCACTTACTTCTTTGACAAATTCTAATCAAGGACCTACTGCATGCCAGACATAAGGTATGGGGGATCCAGATCCTCTCCATCTTGTTCATCAGGCTAGAGCACAGCTGGGCACACAGTAGGTACTCAGGGGTTTAGGAGTGACCTAGGATTCAAGGCTCTCTTTCCTGCTACCTCTGGAGGGAACTGCCCGGAGTGTCAGACTGCTGGGGTTTTTTTCTTTGAAAATGAAAGGTCTGACGACCAAAAGCCCTAAGACAGGAGGAAGCCCTGAGGACATTTAACGGAGGCCTTCCCGGGTCCACTCACCACTATGAGTTTTAATGAGCAACGACACTTGTTTTCTTCTTTCTAAACTCAGATCAATGAAATTCAAGACCATTTTTGGAAGAATCTAATTGGCTCAATTTCCAGTATGATTTCCTGGAACCAGGAATAGTTCTGTATATTGCAAACACAGAAATGAAGCTAAAATTAAAATCCGGCCCCTCGTGTTTGTTCCACTCGGGTGACGGGCACGTTGGTTTTGAGTGGAAGCTGCACTGCCAGTGAGCTGAGAGCAGGTGACAACATCAGCTCACGACACGGGGGCGGAGCCTGCTCCGTCTCTGCATGGGACCCTGCCAGCCCTGCCGGGGCGGAGGGGAGCTGGCTGCTGGATTGTGGGTTCGGGACTAAAGTCACAGAGCTGAAATGTTGTGGGATCCTGTGTGAGAACCTGCCTTGGACGCATTTCATAAAACCAAAGACATTTGGAATTCTGGGGGCTGGAACTCAGGTTTTATAAAATACAGCGATAGTTAATAAAAATAATCATTTACTGAGAATTTACCCTATGTCTGAGATGCCCGACGCAATGCTTTTCTTTTTCACATTTTGCATTTAATTCTCATAAAAATTCTGTTATAAATAATAATAAAATAATATCTTTTATTCCATCTTATTTATTTTTATGTTTCATTTTTTATTTCCCTTCTGCCCCCCCCACCGAACCCTTGGCGATGGCTATAGCTATACCCATCTGAGCACAGTCAAGGAAACAGAAGCCCAGAGAGGTTAAGTGCTTAATTTGCCCCAAACCACACAGCCAGCAAATGGCAGAACCAGAAGCAAACTCAAACCCAGGCCTCTCTCTTCCTAGAGCGAACGATCTTAGAAGATGCTTCCACACAGAGCACTCCCACCGCAAACACCAGCGTTCTCACTCCCCTCAACACGCCACGTGAAGCACTCTGACTGACGGCCCCAGTCCAAAGGGTCTCCACCCCCTTCACTGGCAAAACAGCTGGTCGACTTCAGACACTTTTCAAGTCTCCTGACTTGCTAACAGCCTGGGCACGAGCCCGGCTCTCCGAGTCCGGAGCAGCAGCACGGTTCCGGAGACGCTTTCTCCCAGTGCACAGACTCCTGCTGTCCGGCGCTGTCCGGCGCTGTCCAGTCCGTCTGTCAAGAGGATGTTGGGATGGGACTGTGTCTGAGTCACCCTCATCAGGTTGGAAGAACAGCGAGTGACACCCAGCTTCCTCCGAGGGAGCCCCTCCTGGGAGGACAGGTCATTCTGCTCTGTAACTGCGGGACCCCTGAA